GGGAGTGGGAGTGGGTCATGCATGAGAGGAGAAGGTGTGATGGAGGAACAGGGAGCAGGGAGGAAGTCTTTAGTCATGACACTTCAAACATAAGGAGGTACAAACTGGTTGAACCAGCTGTTCCTGACCGTCAATATTCTTGATTTCTGTATAATTTAGTGCAACTGAGCCATTTTATCTATAATATATGGGTCAGTGGAAGAGAGCTAAGTTAGGATCAGTGTCATTGAATGTTATCATTGTCTCAACTTCCTCAGACTCAATTTTATGTAACAAGTAATCAAAAGATATATGGAATATTATTTGTTATCTGAAGGGGGCAAAGACAAGGAATTGATGCTTTAGTTGTGCAGACCTTTAGACGATCTGTGGTACTATATTCCATTCTTGGGACCACACCTCAGGAAGCATATATTGAGATTTGAGTTTCCTGGGATAAGCGGGCTGTCTTATGGTGATTCCTTCAATAAATTGGGCCTATATTCTCTTACGTTTAGAAGAATAAGTGCTGATTCATGAATTTTGAAGGTTTTTTTGATAGAGTGGATGCTGAGAGATTGTATCCTAGAACATGCGGACACAATCACAGGACTATTTAAAACTAAAACAAGGAGAAACTTTTTCACTCGGTGGTTGTGAACCTTTGAAATTCTCTCCCCAGTGGGTTGTGGATGCTCCATTGTTGAGAGTATTTAAGGCTAAACTGAAGGATTTATATAATGCTTCCAATGGCTGGAGGATCCCTAACCAAAGTTCAGAAATTTAAGGTGATTTGGCAAAATACCCAGAGAGGGACATGAGGAAAAGTTGTTTTCTTCCTCAGTGAGAGGCTAGGATTTGGAATGCACTGTCTGAAAAGGCAGTGGATACAGATTCAATAATAGGTTTCAAAGGGAAATTGGATAAATACTCGAAGGACTAAACTTGCAGATGGTTGCTCTTCATATTGGCCAGTGCGGAATTGATGGGCAGAATGGTTGCCCTGTTTGCTGTAATATTCTATGATTCTTTGTAGATATATAGAGATATGTGTATCCACCCTCTTTTTCTGTCTCTGCTTCACCCTCTTTGTCTGTCTCTCTCACATTGTGGAAATGTGTCTAATTATTATCAACACAACACAGGTGATAATTAGAGCTTTCAAAATTCAACTTAAGGAACCACATGCTGTGTATCTCTCTGACTCTTGCACCTCAAAAACACAACGGGAATTGCAGTGCAGCATGAGTATTGAAATGTACTTACACCAAGCTATTCACTCTAAAGGTCTGTGGGTCAAAAGGAGCCGTCTTCACTTCTGTAGATGGGAAAATCAGTATGGACACATTAGAGGTACCTGCCTTGGCAACTAGGCCAGAAAGTTGGATAGAAATCTTGTAGGAGTGGTGGAGGCAAGGAGGGGAGGGTAGAGGACAGAAGGCCAAGGAGTACTTAAAAATACAAAGACAAAAACATGCTAAACCTTCAGCAATCTACGTCATAGTTTTGCTTAAACCTCTAGGTGATCTCCTATCCACCCTTAGTTATCCTGTGGGTGCAGGGGACTATGGAGATAGAAGAGTGGAAGGCCAGATTACGTGTTGGTTCTGTGGAAACCCTAACATCCTCTTCCGCCAAGCTAAACTTAGGCTTTCCAGTTTTGTTGCATTGGTGGATATCCCAGATGTGTGGCACTCATTAATGATTGGGTAATGAAGCTAACAAGAGAATCAACGGCTATTGGGGATGGATGGAAATGTGGAGATGAGACCATAGTCAGATAGACATGAAGTTGCTAAATGGCCTGCTCATTGCTTCTAATTTGTTCCTTCATTTTTTAATAATAGTAAGAAAATGAATGTAAAAAACTGTAGTGCAAGTATCAATAGGAATAAAAGACAACTCAATTGAAAAATAATGCTTTAAAATAAGTTAAAAGATTTTTCGAAAGCTTTATTTTGAACATTAAAAATTTCAGTGACTAAGAAATCCTTTGGAATGAGACCATTGCCAAAAACTACCTCGGATGATTTTTATGAAGCCTGTTGTCAGCCTACACAGGATAATGGATTTAGTTGGAAAGCCCATTATAAATGTGGACAGAAGAATTGATAATGCAATAACAATTGACGCAAAGATGTGACAGAACAATAAAGTCAAGTTGTGCAGACATAGGATTTACAAAAATTTTAAAGTATAATTTAAAAGTAAATTAACATGCAAGCAAACTAAACCAATGAAATCAGCCAACTTATTTTATACCTCAAGCAAAATCAGAAGTTCCTAGCACAACTCAACAAATCTGGTAGCATCTGTAGGGAGAAAGCAAAGTTAATGTCTCTGAGTCTGGTGACTCTTCATCAGAAGTAGATCTCCAGCATCTGCAGTTCTTTGTTTCATTGTATGTCTCATCTCATTGAAGTCTACCTTTTGTTGGTTTCAATGGTTAGCAAATCATTCTGTCCATAATTAGCTATAGTCTGCTACGTACTGTCGGCATTTTTCGCTGTTTGAGAGGGACAAATAGATATAACTTGAGGCAGGGCTAAGCATTGATTATGGCTGACCAGGAACCTCCCACTCTTATCACCAGCCATGGGTATGTTGGAAAGCTTAAGATGTTGAATATAAACTTGTTTGGCTGCATCATGAATGTTCTTCCCATGGCCAACGATTCCTTTATTGGGACTTGAACGCATAAGTTCTGGTTCAGAGGCATGGTGTTATTAACTAAGCTACAGAGTTTTTCATCCCAAAAGGTAATTAATTTTGGCTAAAATTGCTCCCACAAACCTTATTGCAAACTTATTACGCTCTAGATATTTTGTTTTGTTATTTCTGCAAACATAATTGATCATAGAATCTAAACACATAATAGAATGGTTACATTACAGAAGGAGGCCATTTGACCCATCCTTTCTGCACCAGCTCCCCGTCAGAGTAACTCAACTAGTTACACCTATGTGGCTCTTTCCCTATAGCCCTGAAAATATTTTCCCCCTCGGTGCTTATCCAATTTCCTTTTGAAAACCATGATTGAATCCACCTCCACCACACTCTAGCATTCCAGATCCTAAACACTCACTGCACAAGTAAGCTTTTCCTCACATTGCCAATTGATTCTTTTACTAATTTTCATAAATTAATATCTACTGGTTCTTGACTTTTCAACAAGGGACCAGTTTTTCTCCATTCAGAGTCTTCATAATTTTGAACACCTCTCTCAAATTTCCTCTCAACCTTGTCTTCTCTAAGCAAGTTATATTCTGTAACTGAAGTGAAGACTTTACAATCTCCTACAATTTTGTGCATTCCAATCTGAAGCACTTGAGCAGTGTCTTATAGATTAGTAGTCAAACATCACATTTATGCTCCAAGTCCCAGAATATACATGACATTTTCCGAACTAATACTGTGAAGAGTGTACTACAAAAGGTTCCCTTTCAGAAATGAATTTAGGAAGCACAGTTTTCACAAAAAAAGATTACAGAACATTGAAGCTTTCTTCTGCAAATGGCAATTGCTGCTAGATCAGTTGTCAGTTGCACAATTGAGACTGACATTGTTTTGATATTAAGGGACTTGAGGTAAAGTGAGTACTGAAATTAAGTTGCAGATCAGCATTGAGGGTCTAAATACCCTACTCTTGTTTTTGTAGTCATAAATTATGCATCTCCAGTTTTGAGGTGATTCCGTTGGTAACACAATTGCCTCTGTTACAAGATTCTGGTTTCAAATCCCAGTCCAGGACTTGAGCACAAATATCAAGGCTGATATCTAATCTGTTGCAATACTGAGAGATTGCTGCACTGTCAGAGGTGCTGTGTTTCAGATGGGATATTAACCCAAGACCTGTCTGGTCTCTCAGGTGGATGTGAAACATTCCAAGGTACTGTTCAGAAGACAAGCAAGAAAGTTATCTCCAGTACCTGGCCATTGAGTCATTGTTTATTTCTCAGTCCTATAGGGCAATGCTTCAAAAGTATTTCATTGGCTGGAAAGCCCTTTGAGATGTCCAGTGTCTGTGAAAGTCACTTTGGAAATGCAAATATTTCTTTTCTGATTTTGAGACTTTGGTTTGAGTTCAGTCCTGACTAAATGAACATTTCCTTTCCGTGCATGTTGGCCCCCCAAGGTAAAAAAAAACTCAACCCTGAGTTCCATTCCAAAAATTTCCAAGTGACATAAAATTTCAGAGTCATCCCAAAACATTGGTCTGAGTACGTGAAGTGTAGATTTTAACCAGGACACTGAGAATTGCTAGAGGAAAGGCAAGTTTGCTTTGCATCTGAGAACGTCTGATGTGGATACTGGTTCCTCAAAAGTAAAACAAAAACTTCCATTTCTGAGTAATGAATAGGCACAAAAAAACCCATCCATCAAGAAATGTAACAGTTAACTTTCTGTTTCCTGAGCCATTTAACTGGATCAGGGTTAATTAAATTCAAGTGGTTCAAAAATTCAAAGTCTGCTGGTTACAAACCACTCAAGTTCTCAATTCAAAGCTTATGTCACCAAATGAACTCTTTTTGATGAATTTACCATCTTGGGCTCACTTTCATTGTGCAAGTTTTGTCTGCAGAATAATGGGAATGATCATCATGCAGTTATCACACCTAAGAGATTGCCAAGAGTACAACTGGGGCAGAATCCTATTACCTGATTGTCCAGGTTTAAATTATAGATTGAAGTTGTTCCTTTGTATCTACTGCTATTATTCCACATCTTCTGCTTAACCTTGACAGGACGGGTTTGTTTTCTGATTTGTGGGGGGAAGGTAAAGATTGTCATCACAGCAGCTGTCAATGTGGGCATTACTACCATTATGTTCCATGTCCTGGGGGACCAGTAAGAATCCCACAAATAGTTTAATGATTGTAATGTAATTCCTAAATGTTTGAGAACAACTATGCAATCCTATGAAATTCTATATCCAGCATAAAACTTCCAAGCACTCTTAAATTCATGTCTCATGATACGTGCACTGATTTATTTTATGTTTCATAGCACGGAACAATGTAGAGGGGCTCAGTGCTTTATTTAAAACAGAATGTTAAATGGCAATTTGTTTCACAATTTTGGACAAACCTGCTTGCCTCCATTCTGTTTCTTGGACTAACAAGATGAGATCATCGTTCTAACATGCAGGTCTTGGTGCCATGTAGGTTGGAGAATAAAATCAAACTGCAAGGCAGCAGAAAGAAAAGCTCAAGTATTTTCAATCCCATCAACACAGCAAATGGACAACTTAGTAGGGCAGAAATGTCCCATGAAAACCTTACAAGTGCATTACCAGACAAAATTTGACACTAAACCACTTAAAGGGATATTAGGGCAGTTTACAAAAAAAGTTATTCAAAGTCAGAGGTTTTAAGGGGCACTTTTATGAAAGAAACAGAGGTAGAGATGCAGAAACTTTTTTGGAATGATACTTCAGAGCAGGTAGTTTCCAGTATAGCTGTCCACGGGAGAGAATTAACTGTCCAAGTTGGAAAAGAGCTATGGAGCATTGTAGGGCTGAAGGTTCCCTTAAGAAATAGAGGGGGTGCGAGGCCATATAGAAAGTTGTAAAGAATGCTGAGGATTTTAAAGTTGAGCTGATACAAGTCCTGGAACCAAAGTGTATCATGGATGCTCACGGGTAATAAGTGAAAGTGAGTTGGTGCATGATAAGATACAGACAATATTGATTTGGATGAAATTGAGTTTGTGGAATGATGTACACTAAGAATCTAGCCAGAAAAGCGTCAGAGAGGTCAAGGCTTGAGGTAACAAAGTCACAGATAAGGTTTCAGAAACAGATAAGTTGAGACAGGGGCAGAGTCAGGTAATATTATGGAGCTCAAGTAGGAGGAGTCTTGCTCTTAGAAGTTCATATCCATCAAAATATTTTGCTATTGCACAAATATCTTGGCTTGCTATTCACTCTAATAATTTGTGCAGAATCAATATGTCACTGATCAATGTCTCCTCTCACTTCTTCAGCATTTTAATGTGTATACGGAAACCATCTCCATTGCTTTGTATGTGAGATCAGAGGTGATCAATTAATCTTCTTTTGATCGTGAAGCCTGAGGCCTGGAAATGTAGCCTCTTTGGTCAAGAAAGAAGGACATTTATACATTTAAACATATAAGGATTCATACTGACACTGAAGCAGTTTGTGTCCGTATGTAGCAATACCTGGACAACATCCAGATCTGGGCTGACAAGTGGAATGTAACGTTCATGGGAACATAGGACAGGAATAGGCCACTTGGCCCTTCAATCCTGCTCCACCATTTGATAAAAACAAGATTAATCTTTGTATGGTCTTATCTCCACTATCCCACTTGCAGGCCATTAACCTTCACTCCCTTGCCCATCAAAAATCTCCCCAACTCAGCTTTGAATATATTTAAAGACTCAGCCTCTACCACCTTCTGGAGTACTCTCCATTTGCCTGGATTAGACCACCTCCAACAACGTTCATGAAGCTTTACATGATCCAGTACAAGGCAACCAGCTTGATCAGCATTCCATCCACTTATTTAAACATTCAATCCTTCACATTGACACAAAGTGGCAGCAATGTGTACCACTTCCAAGATGTACTACAGTACCTCATCAAGTTACCATACAGTAGCTCCTTCGACAGCACCTTCCAAATCTGCAACCTCTATTGCTTTGAAGGACAAGGGCAACAGATGTGTGGAAATGCCATCAACAGCAAGATCCCCTGCAAGCCGCACACAATCCTGACTTGGAAAGATACCATCAATCCTTCACTACAGCTGGGTGAAAATTCTAGAACTCCCTTCCTAACGGTACTATGGGAGTACCTACACGTCATGGTCTGAAGCATTTCAAGAAATGAATGTTCTCCATAACATTCTCCAGGGCAATTAGTGATGGATGACAAATGCTGGTTTAATCAGCAACAGCAGATCCTGTGAAAGAATAAAAAAAAGTAAATCCATTTCAAGATCTCAGGATGTCTCAAAACACTTTATTGCCAAAGAAGTACTTGTTGTAATGTAGAAAGCAGGTCAGCCAGCTTATACGCACCAAGGTCTCCAATCCGTTTTAATAATGTTGGTTGAGGAGTAAGTATTGGTCAAGACACTGGGAGGAGCTTCTCTGCTCTTGCTCACAATAGAGTGATTTGATGTTTTATGCCCAGCTGACAGGACATTCAGGGTGCTGCTTTAATGCCTCATCTGAGAATCAGCACTTCACACAGTGCAGCATTCTACCTGTACAAATCAGAATTATTAATTCAGTAAAATAATTTAAAGTTATGCATAGAAAGCAAACTAAAAAAAGAACGTGCATTATTACACTGCCATTCAGGATCACTGGACACCTCCAAATGCTGTAGAACCAATGGAATACCATTTGAAGTAGTTACTATTGTAATGCAGAAAATGTAACAGCTAATGTGTGTACATCTGGCTAAATAGTTGACACTCCCCTTCTCTTCAAAAACAGTGCCTTGGGATCTTTTATGCCCTTTGAGAGGATAAGAGAGGACCTTGGTTTAAAATCTCAGCCAAAAGTTTGCACCATTGGGAATACAGTATTTCCTCAGTGGTCCACTGAGAATGTTAATTTAAATTTTGTGCTCAAGTCCTGGAGGTGGACTTAAAGTCTATAACTTAGTAATTAATTGACAAGTGTGTTTCCTAACACCACAGCGGAGTGGGAAAGAAAGATGTGATTGATAAGAAAGCATGTGACAAATATAAAGGACAAATAAAGATGTAAAAAAAATACATTTTAAAATGTCTCCAACAGTTAGATGTTGAAGGAATGGGACTCTACACTTATAAAATCAAATTTCAGAGCTAGAGATGCAGTTTGGGAGTAATAATTGGGAGTAATGATCACTGTGGCAAAAATTCACTTTTACCTAGATGCACCATTGTTAACATTTTCTAGCATGTTTAATTGCTATTGTAAGATAAATATAGCAAGTTCATGGGTTTGCATGGATTTCATTGCCAAATCACTGAGGTACTGATATAGCATAACTTGTTCAGGACCAGGGCCAAGGACACAATGGCAGCAAAGTGTATCATATATACATGGTGGAATTTGAATTCAATAAACATCTTGAATGATGAGTCTAATGATGACAGTGAATCCATTGCCAATTGTCGGGAAAACCCATCTGGTTCATTAATCTCCTTTAGGGAAGGAAACTGCCATCCTTACCTGGTCTGGCCTACTTGTGACTCCAGACCCATGGCAATGTGGTTGACTCATAACTGCTCTCTGGGCAATTAGGGATGGGCAATAAATGGTGATCTAGCCAGCGATGCCCTCATCCCATGAATTAATAAAGAAAAAAAATCCCATGAAAGAATAAATCCAAAAACACTTCAGACAGATTTCAAAGTTGAACGTATGTATCTATGGTGTGTGGACTCCGGTATGCTGAAACTGTCCCAGGACAGTGTCCATCTGGGCCTTCAATATCATCATTGAGTCCCTACAGTGTGGAAGCAGGCCATTTGACCCATCAATCCATACCAACCCTATGAAGAGCATCCCACCTCCCACCCTGTATTTCCCATGGCTATTCCACCTAGACGGCACTTCCTTGGACTTGGGGAAAATGGAGCACCCTGAGGAAACACTTATTTTTACAAAAAGGATAAACACCAAAGCATCAGCAAATGGGGCAGCTCCTTATTGTTGTGCCTCTATTCTGATACTTAATGCAAAAAGGAAAATAATACCAATGATCCATTAATCAGAAGCATTTAAACACCCTCATCCTCTCCAGCGCTGGGGTGATACATTAATAAGCCATGCTCATGTTATTCAGTCCACACCACCCAAACAACTTAGCTGGGTTAACTGCAGACTTACATGAGCAGATAAAAGTCTTGCCCAATGCCAAGCTAGAATTGAAGGTGGATCCAGCCCTCTATAGTCCAGACTGTCCAAACTTGCAAGTACAGGTAACTTGATCATAAACATGTAATTAGCATGAGAAACAAAGAGTTCTAAGGAATCCAAGGACAGTTATTATTAAAAGCTAATGGACAGGTACAAAAATTATAGAAATTATAAATGACAAATAGACTTTCTCTCAAAATACTCAAATGCAAAAAGGTGAATGTTATTTTTTCTTATATAGAGCTTTACTTTGATCCCACCTGGAGTGATTTCTTTCAGTTCTCAGCATAGCATCTCGGGAAGGATACAATGATCTTCGAGTTGAAGCAGGGCAGATTCATGAGACTGATAACATGAGACTGGGCTAAGTTGGAAAGGTGGTTTGTAGGATGATCTCACTGCTGAAAGCACGTTGATGGAGTTGAGGGATAGATCAATCATGTTCCAATTAAAACCATGATGAAGAGATTGAATGGCCTTCTTCATTCATACTTCTTTCGAGAAGACTGATTCTGGGAAAATGTAACTGTTTTATATTTACATTGACAGACATAACTTATCTTGTTTAAGTACTGGAATTATAATAATATATTTCTCAGCCTGTGAAAAATATGTAACCAAACATCACAAGATCAGTTAATTGTCATGTCATTTTTCAGATCCTGTTTTATGAATATTTACCACATTTTTATAAATTTTAACTGTACTAAATTGACTGACACTTTTTCAGATACACTATTTTCTTTGTAAGTTGACAAAAACAATTTTCTTTGCTACCATTAATCATCACATGAAAATTTTCATGGTAAGTTACATCACTGCATCCTTGGGCAATGAACTAAAATATAACTGACCTCAATAAAGTCCTCTGATAAGTTACATGACAATCTATAAACTAGTAATATCCCATTTAGATTGTTCTTTTGGCTTTTCTATGAGATAAACATTCAACATTACAATACAACACTGCACAGGTTTAGAGAAGGTTGGTCACTGTCCGTTTTCCCTGTGGTTTTATGTAATGTCACATTTAACACCATGCTCCAGCCATTACGTTGAATTGGACTGTAAATAATCTGGGATCTCCTTTGGTGTTTCTTCTCTATGATCTGTATGGGGTGGTTGGTGTTATGATAGGATCCGATCATGAAGTTATGGATACCTAATACCCATGCATTTCTTGTCTGTAGGAACTAATGGTGTAGATCTAACGTGAATCAATAGTCCCTGTAACAGTTCCACCATGTTCAGAATCCTTGTCTCAAACTGCAAAAGGATCCCAATTCTATCCCTTCATGGCCTGGTCTTGCTTCCACAACAACACAATAATTGGAGATATGGAAACATGGTGGAAATTTTACTGGGTAGGAATCTAGAAGCCTGGTCCAACAATCCATAAACATGAGGTCAAATGCTGCCATAGCAGCTGGTGAATTTGAACTAAATTAATTCAATAACATTGGAATCAGGACTGGTGACCAGATCATTACTGGATTGTCATGAAAACATGTTTGATTCACTAATGTCCTTACAGTCATAGTCAGAGAGATATACAGCACGGAAACAAACCCTTCAGTCCAACAGATTTCTAGGGTACACCTGATCAGGTCCTGGGGATTTATCCACCTTTATGCATTTTAAGATGTACAGCACCTTCTTCTCTGTAATATGGACATTTTTCAAGATGTCACTATTTACTTCCCCACATTCTCCATCTTCCATATCCTTCTCCACAGGAAACATTGATGTAAAATACTCATTTAGTATCTCCCCCATCTCCTGCAGTTCTACACATAGGTGGCCTTGCTGATTTTTAAGGGGCCCTATTCTCTCCCTAGTTACCCTATTGTCCTTAATATATTTGTAGAATCTCTTTGGATTCTCCTTAACCCTATTTGCCAAAGCTATCTCATGTCCCCTTTTTACCTTCCTGATTTCCCTCTTAAGTATACTGCTACTGTCTTTATACTCTCCTAGGGAATCATTTGATTTCGGCCTTCTATACCTGACATTTACTTCCTTCTCTAGTCATCCACCATTCCCTACACCAGCAGCCTTGCTCTTCACCCTAACAGTAACATACTGTCTCTGGACTCTCGTTATCTCATTTTTGAAGGAAATCTGTTATCTTTACCTAGTCTATCCTATATGTGGCTCTACACCCGACAATAATGTTACTAACTTTTAATTTCCTTTGGAAATAGCCTAGCAAGCCAGTCAATTGTATCACAAATAATGATAAAAAGGTATAACCTACAAGATGGAATGGCTCACCACATACTCAAGGACAATTAGTTGTGTAATAATTCCTGGCTTTGCCAGTAACTCACAAATCCTGAATTGCGGAATTCTAACTGCTGTCTTGGCCAATATTTATCTCTCAATCAACAACCACAATCCAATGATCTGGTTGATATCACATTGATGCCTGTGGAATTCTGTTGTGAGCAAGTTGGTTTTCCTGCAGGATAGCAGTGGCCATATTCTAAAAAAAGTACTTTCTTGGCTGTAAAGCACTTTGGAATGTCCTGACGTTCTATAGAAATGGAAGTTCTTTTCTTGATCAGTTTTCTACCAGCAAGCTGTGAGTTGAGAAGTAATTGTCCTTCAGGTTGTGTTGGCACCAGTCATTCAAACTTGTCTGCTCTAACTTGAGCCTATTTCGCCAGTTACCAAGCAACCTGGTGAATGGAACTCCTCTGTAGAGCCTTCATGGGTAGGAGAAAATGGAGAAGAATAACAGTGTGCATCTCTGGTCCATTGCACCCATGCTATCAGTAAGGTAACTGGGCACTGGCAGTTGTACTGAGATATCCATTGACTTGCAGCACCCTTTAGTCCCAATTGAAATATATCATATGATAACAAGTAATCTTGTGTAAGCAGGAGGGTCAAGAAGTGTTTGGGGGTTGGGGGGGTGGGGGGCAGAAGGTGGGAATTTGTCAACTATGACATTTTTTAAAGCAGCTGTTGTTCTCATTTTGGGATTTGGCAGCTGACAGTTTAAACCCAGTTCATTTATAACCACATTCCATTGAGATCCATGTATTCCCATTCAGAGGATAATTTCTCCAGGTTGCCAAAACTAAGGTAATGTTCCTTAAGCAGATGCAGTTAATGTCATCAGCATGAACTATTGGAAATATTAATAGCTCTCACACAATTGCAAAGAGTGTCCACACTGCATGTACTCTCAGTGTGAGCGCTTCAGTTTTATCCTGAATAGACTCTCAAATGAGGATTACGGGAATTACAAGCTGAAGAAAACAGAAACAAGTTATTTTAAGAATAAAGCTCCTGGTGTGTTGCCACTTCCAAAATTTACAGTCCTCTGTGGTGTTGGGTTAAAAGTTTAAGAAAAATTTGTGGATTTTTATACTTAGGAAGGTACAAGCATTGGGAAGGGGCACACAAGTCAACATCGCGACTTCTCAGTGCCTCAAGTGATCAGAGAGAGAATAAAATTCTTTTTAGCCTGTCCAATAATGTGCTTTAATTGCAACCATAAGGATGGAACTCCATCTTTTACAGCAGTAACCTTTCTTTCATTTTGCATGACAGTAGTCCTTGTGAAGTCTCCAAGATGACTGAATTAGTGCCAGCATTGACTGTGCCCACTGGGAACTAGACAGTTGCTGTCTAGACTCGTTTCACCTTTCAATACAAGTTCCTGCAATTTACAACTGTTTTTAACATATTGAAACATGCCACAACACTGAGTGAGGATATCTCATAACTTTTAATGCTGGACGGGGTGACAATGATAGGGAAGGACAAGACAATGTAAGGATTTGTAAGAAAGGAGGAGATTTTAAAATTATGGCTTTGGCAAAGCACAAACCATCTTAGGCCAAACTTGCTGCCAGCAGAGATGGGAGGTACCAAAGGAACTTGAACATTGTACTAAATCATTATAGTAGCCATTGTTTTAGAACCAATAATATATAATTCTTAAAAAAGGAATTGAATATTCTTTCAGTCATAGTTAGGAGTTTTATCTGGAGCTCTTGATTCACAAATAGAACTTTCAGAATTCTCTTTAAAGGTGTGTTGCAATGCAAATCCTTGTTGCATTGTATTTTCTCTAATCCTTTTTGTAAATGTATTCTTTCAATGCTGGGATAACTTATTTTCATTAATCCTCCTCAATGGCTGCAAAGTAAACAAATTCACAACAAATGCTGATCTACAGAAATCATGCATTATTCAAAATCTTGATTAATAAATCAGTTGGTATTTTTAAAAGCAATCTCAGGCCAGTTTTTCCTGTTGTTTGCTAATTTTAGAGAAAGAATCAATATGTCTGAGGAATGATTCAATGCCAGTGGAAAATACTATTGGATGTTCACTCATAACTAATGATACTTTGAGGAATACTGTTATGAATTTACCGAAAACTGGACAAAAAAGCATCAAAAATGCCGCAGCTTAAGGCTTTGTAAAATGCTAGTCAAGAAGAAAACAACATTGAAATTTGTTTAAAGAGGAGATCATCAAAATGTGAGTGTTGATTTCAGGTTTCTGGTTAGCTGATAAGGTAACATAGTTCATGTACTAAAATGAGAGGTGGTTGCCTTATTAGAGCCATGTTTAAAATGTTAAAGGAAAGCTTTGCTAGTACTTGCATATAATATTCTATGAACAAATCAACTAGCATGATCTACATATTCTGTTTATTGATTAATTGACATTATGAGTATATCAGGATTTTTACCACTCGTAATAATCACACAATAATGGCTTACTTTTGCCTTGTAATGGCATTGTTGATTCTGTGCACCACATATGTAGGTCTAAACACACAAACTGAATATCAGACACCTTTCAATTTCCTTCATTTGAGTTCTAATAAAGGGTCACAACCTGAAATGTTAATTTGTTTCTCTATGCACAGATGTTGCCAGACCAGATGACTAATTCCAGCATTTTATTGTCATCATAGTTTTCTGACAATAAAGCCAAGTCCATGCAAATACAAAAACAAAACACACAAATCCGAAATAAGTACATCTCAGTGTAAATCTAAACTTCTCCATCTCCCGCTCCTCCTTTGACTTGCTTCTTAAAACTACATCTTTGATGTCACATTTGGTCACCTATCCCATTATCTCTTCAACTCCCTCAATAGACATTGTCTCAGGCCTTAAGCACCTCAGTGTTGTTAATCTCTGAGCTGAGCATTTAACCTCTAACCATGTTCACTCAAAGATTTCTGTTACCCTTCTCAAGATCCACAGATCCCTTCCCTCAATCTGTATTCCTCTAACTCTGAGCTTTGATGCCTCCCTGCTTCCTTCATCCCACTGATGATAGTCATGTCTTCAGCTTCCCTAAAACTCCCAGTCTGCTTTGAAATCCAAGTTCTTCCATCACATTTTGTATTAACCATTTTTTTGACTTGTCACCCATTTTCCTAACACCACTGGGAAGCAAGTTTGGACTTTTTCTTTGTGAGTGGTGATATTTAAATGCACATTATTGTTATCTAATTTAGACATTATTCCCTTGAAAG